AAGAAGCAGAAATCACTGCCCACCCTGTCATGTCCCCTCTTTTTAATATCCAACTCTAGAGAGTGAGGTTTTTTTTTTTTACATTCTTCCAAATATCTGCAACTCTGAAAAACCTCCCCAGATGGTAACCCTCACCCACTGCCAGATGTTTCCAGGGTTCTACTTCTTTACAAACTGAGAACGCAGAACAAAAATGACCCCAGCCTGAGGGAGGAAAGAGAAAGAAAGGGACTGGGGTGAGGGGGAAATAGAAAATTAAAGGACATAAAAGAGGAAGAGAGAGTAATTTAACATGACAGGCTGTTTATTTTGGCAAAAAATGGCCTCCTTTCAACAGATTTCAAAGTCCAGCCCCAGGAGGGACCACACAAGCAAGAGAAGAGGGTTGTTTCAGAGGGCAGGGAGGGCAGAAGAAATGGGGATGGGGCGAAGGGGGTGAGGAAGATCTTCAGAGATGGAGGCAGGATGGGCAGAGAAAGACTAACACGGGATGGGAACAGAGACAACAGCACGGGAAAGAAAGAGGGAGAGGGAGAGGGGAGGGGGAGAAATAAGTTGAGGCACTAATATAACAAGCCGAGGGCAAAGAAACACAGAGCAAAATCCTCACAGGCGCCAGCCTTGACCTACTTATCACCATGGGAACCATAACATTTTCACAGCCTTTTAACTTGAGGAAGTCAGCATTGAGTTGAACAGAGCTGCCTTCCCATATGTACAAGAACACTGACACGGACTCTTCTGTGCATGCACACTCCACACAACCACCTTTAAACACGGCAGTCCATCTTGGCAAGCCGTCAGTAGCCTTTATCTGTCTGTTGCTCACCTAGACATTGTTGTTCAAGATTCTCATGTGCATATCTGTTCTTTTTATGTGAACTTAATTATTTGAATTCACAGACTATGTACCGTAAGTATGTGGAGTCACACTTCAATGCATGCTCACTCCTACCCACGGACATACCACTACCACACAAACATATGTCTTTTTCTCCCACCCTTCTTCCATGTGTCTAAGCCTCAGCTGGAGGCCTGGCAACCCAAGCATGATTTCAAAAGAGGCTGTTTATAAATGTTAGTCAATATATAATTATAATAATTTCATTATGAGCTTAACTGCAATATTTTTGTGAAGGAGAAAACACAAGAGAGGAATTAGCCAGGAAGGAGTGAATGTATGAAGAGGGGGGGAGTTTTGTGTGATGTTTTCTTTTCAGTCCCACCCCCTGCAAACCCCCTCTCCTTATCCTGGGGAATAAAAACAGTTTATTTTATGATGGATCGCCCTTCTCTTTGGTCACTGACCTTTCTTCGTGAATTTCTATTGAGCTCAGCAGAAAAATGCTGAGTGCATTTGTGGATCCCATATGTGGGTGGGGGCTGGTAGAAAAAGGGTCTCACCCTAATCCTTCTCAAAAACAGAACAACAATAACACAGAGCTGGTTGGAATGAGCCAGGCCAACAGGGAGGATCTGGATAATGTTAGAGCTTTTCAGAGTAAAAAGAATTAAAAAGAAAGAAAGAGAGAGAGAGAGAGAGAAAGAGAGAAAGAAAGAAAGAAAGAAAGAAA